TATTATTCGTGTAAATTATAGAGGATGCAGTAAATCATTTTTTTTTTGGTCACATGCAGTAAATCAGATAAATTTTAGATTTATATGATTTTGCCGGACATAGCAAACGAAATATTCCCTCCAAAATATTCTCTTCAATGTATTATTATCCTTATTGAATTTTTGTCATGTGTTTGTGTCTGAGTACGATTTCTAATTGCAAGTCACATTGAATTATTGTCGGGTACGATTTCCACTTGCAAATCACATTGAATTGTTGTTCTGTTTTGAGGAAATCAAAATCGAGATTTGTTTTAATAATAATCCAATGAAATTTAGTCACATAATGAATTGTGAATTAATTTGTACGTATGTGTCTCTACTCCCAAATCCGGTTGGATGTGATGTAAAATTTTCTAAGTATTATTCATGGAAAATGTGTCCATAAAAAATAATGTTGATTCATCTCCGCATAAAACAAACACTTATAATAGATTGTCAATAAAATAAAGGTTGTACGAAGAAGATGGTTCACAATCAGTTGTAAATGGATAATATTGTAGAATCCGTAATTTATGAATATGGATATGTGTTTAGATACCACACTATACAACATCAATATTGGAAAAATGGACTAAAGAGAGTACTAACCAACAAAATATAGAAACACCTCCTATAATATATACCTCTTATCTAGCTATAACACTATTTTCACTCCAAAAATTAGTGTTGGATTTCTCTTCAATGTATTACGTAACAAATATATTTTTCAAATATTATTTTCAATGTATTTTTTAGAGTAAAAGAATATTTTAAGTATATTCCCTCCAAAATATTATTATCCTTATTGAATTTTTGTCATGTGTCTGTGTCTGAGTACGATATCTAATTGCAAGTCACATTGAATTATTGTCGGGTACGATTTCCACTAAGTGATTTCCACTTGCAAATCACATTGAATTGTTGTTCTGTTTTGAGGAAATCAAAATCGAGATTTGTTTTAATAATAACCCAATGAAATTTAGTCACATAATGAATTGTGAATTAATTTGTATGTATGTGTCTCCATACCCAAATCTGGTTGGATGTGATGTAAATTTTCTATGTATTATTCATGGAAAATGTGTCCTTAAAAAATAATTTTGATTCATCTCCGCATAAAACAAACACGTATAATAGATTGTCAATCAAAATAAAAGTTGTACGAAGAAGATGGTTCACAATGAGTTGTAAATAAATAATATTGTAGAGTCCGTAATTTATGAATATGGATGTATGTTTAGATACCACACTATACAACATCAATGTTGGGAAAAGAGACTAAAGAGAGTACTAACCAACAAAATCTTGAAACACCTCTTAGAATATATATCTCTTATCTAGCTATAACACTATTTTCACTCCAAAATATTAGTGTTGGATTTCTCTCTAATGTATTACACAACAAATATATTTTTAAAATAATATTTTCAATGTATTTTTTACAGTAAAATAATATTCTAAGTATATTTTCTCGAAAATATTCTCTTCAATGTATTATTGTCCTTATTGAATTATTATCATGTGTCTGTGTCTGAGTACGATTTCCAATTGTAAGTCACATTGAATTATTGTCGAGTACGATTTCCACAGAGCGATTTCCACTTGCAATTCACATTGAATTGTTGTTCTGTTTTGAGGAAATCAAAATCGAGATTTGTTTTAATAATAACCAATGAAATTTAGTCACGTAATGAATCGTGAATTATGCGACTCCGAAAAGAAAAAATAATTTAGTGCAACAACACGTGAGATGAGGAGAAAGTTGTCACGAACGGTGCCAGCCAATCCACGATCTACCATAGCTACGTCATCGGGTTTCATCAACATCACCACGATCTCCTTCCACAAAATCGCCGATGCTTATCTATCAAGATCCCACACTACCATGAACCAGCTTTTGAAGGGAAGTTTCACTTAGTACCTATATTGTAGGTTCTTTTCGAGGAAAGTGAAGATATTACTCTCTCACAAGAGAAGGAACAAACTCGGTAAAACATAGAATCAACGAAAGAAGAGCAGCAAAGTGAAGATAATACAACCACAACCGATGCTTTAACACCAAAAAATGAATCAAAGTCGTCTTCAACATCGATGTCGGATATGCCACCAATAGTAGATCAAAGCATCAAAATCTCCAAATAAGCTTCAAACTGAAGTCGATGCGAGAGCATAGGAGACCGAAGAGTTTATTATATACTATATATCACGGTGTCGCCGTCGGAAGG